TTTTTAGAAGTGCGCGGTTATATGGTCCACGCGCACCTTTGATGTTGGTAAAATTTTTCTTTTGTGTCAAATCATCAAGTGTTATATATCATTCGAAAGCATTTTTATGTGTTTAAACATAGCAGAAAGAATTTCCCAAAAACTTTGACTTTTTTATTAGTTTTCTCCGATTTTATAATCTGGAATGCAGTTTTTTTCTGGTTCTGCGGTACTTGCAGATCTGATATAGTATAGAAAAAATTTATTCTATTTATAAGCATGAATTAGACAAAAAAAAAGAATCACAATTGAACATTAAGCAAAAAGGAGGAAATTAAGATGTCATCTTTCCATCATCATTGAGGAGAACAACATAACCGAGCCACTTGAGCGGGTTCATTAATCGCTCTTCTTGTGGTCCTGTCTTGTTTCGAGCAAATTCAGATTCTAGCCTGCTGTGAACTGCCTCAATGCCCTCTCCGGATGCATTTCCGATGAATTTATGCTCATGGACAAATGGGCCAAGATGTAAGAGTAGAGCATGGACCAGTACACTTTGTCCAAAACCACCAACTTTTTCTAGTTCATCGCAAAGAATCGCTATTTGGCAGCAATTTCTGGCTTTTGAATGTTTGCCTTTGCAAGCCAAATCTTTTATTTCTTTATCCGAAAGAACACTTTTAGCGGTTGAAACCATTTGAGACCATTTGTTGAACTCGCGTAATGCAGAAATGACGACTTGATAGGAACGGGAGGAAGAAACGACTGCTAAATCAGAAATCACTGAGGATCGACAGAGATTCTTTATATCGTTTCCGTTGAAACGAGCATAGATAATCCCATCACTCTTCCGATTCACATCCAACTTCCATTTTCGACAAACATCTTGGAAAGTCTGAGAGGACCCTTCGAGTTTCACCAATTGTTCAAAAAGTTGGTTTCCAATCTTGATTTTTGCATGAAGTACAGGGTGCGGCATAAGTATGGTTACAAGGTTGTAACATTGATTTAAGAAACTGATTGATTTTTGGACATAATGGTGAAGGCTTCTCCCAACCGTGCCGCTATTCTTCAGCTTGGAGCACAAGGACGATCAACTTCGGATATTGCCAAACTGCTGAAAATGCATCGAATGACGGTATACCGCATTTTGCAACAAAATAGAGTCGAAGAGCTTCCTAAAAGTGAACGTCCGCCAAAAATTGATCACACGAGACTCAAGAAAATCATTAAGAAACGAATCAAGCGCAATCCTGCCCGGAGCATGAGAAAAATGGCCTCCCAATTGAATGTTTCTGATAGAACTATCCGTCGTATCGTCAAAAAGGATCTGGGTCTTCACCCTTACAAGTTAAGGAAGCATAATGGCCTGACGGATCTTCAAATGAGAAACACGAAGCAAAAATGTGCTTTTCTTCTTGCGAGGGCCGCAAATGATGAGCGTCTGACGATGCTTTTTACCGACGAGAAATTAGTCAACATTGAGCAAGTTTTCAACTCTCAAAATGATCGAATTTTGGCTTACAGCCCTCAAGAAGCAAATAAAAGTGACCGATTTGTGGACAGGAACTCACATCCAGCAGGAGTCATGGTTTTTGCAGAGGTGTCAGCAACCGCTGATTTTCGTTAATAAAGGGCTGAAAATTAGCACAGACGTGTATCTGGACGTTCTCACAAAACATGCACAGCCGTGGAGTCAAGGAGATTATCAAAATCAGCGCTGGACGTTGATGCAAAACGGCGCCCCAGCGCACAAAGCAAAAAAGACTCAAGAGTGGTGTCGAAACAATTTGCCCGACTTCATTCCCGCCAATGAATGGCCAGCTAATTCGCCCGACATGAGTGTTATGGATTTCTGTGTTTGGGCAATTTTGGAGTAAAAAGCATGCACAACAAAACATGCAAACTTTGAAAGTCTGAAAAAGGCTCTGAAGAAAGCCTGGGCGGAAATTCCACAAAGTACCCTGCGGGCCGCGGTGGAAAGTTATCCAAAGCGTCTTAAAGCCGTTATCAAGAATAAAGGTGCCCATATTGAATAATTTGTTATTTTTAAATGAATATGATTACTGTTGTTAATTTTAAATTAAATTTACATGAATCCGTTCATATTTCATTACGATACACGGTTCTGAGTCTGTAACCATACTTATGCCGCACCCTGTATTGGGGGAATTACCAAACTTCGAGAAACATTTAATAGATTTTCTTTTTTTGCCTGCAGACCTTTTACTTTTGAAATCGTCGCTTCCACCGAAGGGTCACTCCGATCAGCATATTGTTGAAAATCAATTGAATCCTTATCAGCGGATGGTTTTTTGTCAAACCTCTTGTTGCACCATAAACATCCAAACGTCATCGCACAGGAAAGACCAAAATTGGTGTTCAAGAAAGATAGATCTCCACCGAGAAACCGATCTCCACCGGCTCCTGATGTTCGTCCCATCTGCAAATTATAACTTTTGCTTTGAAAGTGTTGGAAATACGAATGTAATAAGAAAAATAATAATAAGCTAAGAATCAAAAATAAATAATCGGAAAGCAAAATTGTCTGTAACTAAATGATTTTCTCCTGCAATTGACATTTATAACTTTATCATCTGTCATGCCTTTGGCATAGTAATTTATCGAGTAATTGTCAAGGCAGTCTGTATTTGTCTGGGCACCTGGGTTGCCTACCCGAGATTGACAAATACTCTCAAATTTCAACTTTCCTGGAATTGTAACTCTTTCTTCAAAAAAAATTGCGTTCTTCACTTTTTTAGAATAAATTTTTTCTAGACTATACCAGATCTGCAAGTACCGCAGAACCAGAAAAAAAACTGCATTCCAGATTATAAAATCGGAGAAAACTAATAAAAAGTCAAAGTTTTTGGGAAATTCTTTCTGCTATGTTTAAACACATAAAAATGCTTTCGAATGATATATAACACTTGATGATTTGACACAAAAGAAAAATTTTACCAACATCAAAGGTGCGCGTGGACCATATAACCGCGCACTTCTAAAAAACCTAGGTTTCAGAGCTCGCGTTTCCATTGACCAAAACACAAAATTAAAAAACAATTCCCGACCAACTTTTTGCGTAGAATTCAGAAATTTGCTTTTTGAGCCGAGTTTATCAGCTAGATTTTCGTGAAAAAAATTATTTTGACTTTTCGGCGCCGAATATGGAAAAAATTTCATGGAAAAATAGAATTCCACAAAAACTCAATTCAGCATTCTGAAAGAGCGTGAAAAGAGCTATTGAATGACATATAACACTTTATGGTTCGATGAAATATGAAATTTCACTAACATCAAAGTCGCCGCCTTTAATTCTGAAATTTTGGATGATGCTTTTCGGATCATTTTATTTTTTCCGTTCATTTTTGGGCCTAACTTAAAATTTGTAGTGTTCGGATTTTTGATTTAAAGAAAAAAAAAAAATTTACATAGGGGTGTAATCGATGTGCTCAGCCTTCTCTCTTATCAAGACTATTTCCTTGCATAACAGCTTTTTTTGAAGTTTAAACTATGGAGCAAGAGTATAAACGAATTTTTTGGTGACTGTTCTAAAAAAAATGGTACTTCTGCATCATCACCCCACAGAACCAAACAGTAAAGGTAAATTTGCTGCGATATGTTTGGTAAAAATATAGAGATTGCACTTCAGATCACTTTAGATTGCATAACACAAGAAAATGAGTTACTTTATTGACTCTGATGCGAATAAAGAGTGCACTATTTTATTAAGCCCATGAACTGGGAAAAACTTATGGTATTCAATAGTACGCGACTTTAATAGCCTGTAAAACTATTAGAATGGATACAGTAGCCGAAATACTAGCTGTTTCTCGTATTACTAACAAAGCCTAATACGCTTACTCGCGAGTCCAAGCTTTTTCGTGATGGTTGCCGGCTTTGGTGGGCATAGAATTAAAAAAGGCTGGAATTATAAGATTTCATATAAAAGCATTAGTGCTTTTCGTTGTATAGAGGGCCGTTATATATAGCTTAGCCTCGAGCAGGACCAAAATTCCATTCCGTTGTATAGAGTTTTCCGCCATAGAGAGTTCCGATATAAAGAGAGTCAACTGTAATATAACCACAATCACAATAATATTACGTGACTGTGTCAGGACTTTTCTCAGCCATCACTGGCCCCGGTGCCAAGGTCCAATCTTTATTTTGTTAATCACCAATGGAGGATTGTACAACGACACGGACATTGATTTCTTTTTAGAATTTCAAAAAGATTTCAGCATATGGCCTGTTCTTGATGCGTAGAAAAAACGTTAAAAAAAACTTTATTGCCGGGTGTGATTTTACGCAAAACCAGCAATGTTTTGTTTACCATTCTGGCTCAAATGCCATTGATCACTCGTTGTTTTGAAAAAGATTCTCGACATCACTTTTATCGAAATAAAGTTTAGTTCTAAGATATGCAATTGGAATGAATGCTGTTGTGTCAAAATGGTTGAGAAGCTCCACTTCCTCTCGCAGAAGCCCTAAGGTGAGGAGGTATCCAAGTGTATTCACGAGACTTTGAATCCGGGACTGCCAGTTGGGTTGTTGTTGTCCTGAATGAGCCTGTGAAAGTTTCTTCAGTAGTAAACGAGGGCATCGATGTACTGGAATGAATTAAATTTTAGTAAGATCTTTTCGAAAAACCTTTTTGTGAAATTAAATGTGACGTAGAAGTTGAAGGCATTGGTATTCGATTTTATTTCAATGAGCACGTATGGAATTTGTTGCGATAGCTAATAAAGTAAACATAAACAGTAGAACGAAACTGAAACGACCATGTTTTTCCATTCATCTAGTTTCTTAAGGCAGCGTGGATTTCGAAAGGTGATCCCGATTTCTGTGGTTTGCCCCGAATCGAGAGTGAAGAAGGGCTATAAAATAAGCCAGGGTTTAAGGACAATAATTGGTCTGTTTGCCAATTACCTTTCTATCAATATAATCTCGATTGTCGTGATCAGGGTAAATGAATCGCAACCCTGCTTTGGCTGGTTTCCAACGCGAAAATGAGGCCGTCATTTTTTCTTTGGTGACATTTTTGAGCACAAAGTATAGTAACGTTCCGTCAAATTTGATTCCTAAATAACCGTGAGCAATGGTGATGACGCAAAAAGACACTTTGAACTTGAAAATCACCAAATTGCTGCACCTCATCGTTATCACAAAGTAGCGGTCTCATCAAATCTCGACCACCGAGCAAAGGGCGTTGTTTCGTAAAGGATGGTATCCAGTGTCTGTAGAATTGTAAAACAAATGAGAGATAAAAAGTGGCCCAGAATACTACGCACTAGACATCGCGCAGATCATCGGCTTATGGAAGTTAAAAAGCTTCTAATGAACTTTTTTCTGACAGACATATTCAACGCAACCACCTAGCTTGACTTTTTCCTTGAATAAAATTGAAACTTTGTACTGACATCGTGGTGCATAATAAACACTATTGGGATAAATACAAATTTAAACAATACACTTTATTGATTAGCGTTTTCTTGGAAAAACGGGACACTTCTTTAAAATCTTCTTTCATTTGAAAATCTCTTATGTACGACAGTTTATCATATAATGTAAATGAATAAAGAGTTTGGCTAAAAATCTTATTTATATATTAACTCCTAATATCACCACGATGCCAGTACAAAATTTTAATTTTATGGCAAAAGTCCTATGGTGGTGACGATGGTCTGAAATTTCAAGTACGGAATGTCATGCAATCAAAAAAAATCTCCGAAAAAGGCAAAAAATCGCGATGTCAAAAAAACAGCTTTGACACCAAGACCGCCACCTTGAGCCACTTAAACTTTTTGGAAATTTAAGTTTAAATGGAGGACTTTTTTTGGACAACCTTTAGTCAAGGCAATCACCTACCTATTCGAGCTATTCCGCGTCGGTAATCTCGTCTCATTCCATTCTTTCAAGTCAAAACGAAGACAACGATATTTCATGAAGATGGTTTCGTCTTGTGCATCTTTCCAATAGAAATGCAAATCCACGTGCGGAAAAAGTTCCACCTAAAAAACGACATTTGATTTCCCATTTTCACTCATACCTTAGTTATTCAGTTAAGTTAGTGTGTATAATCAATGTCATTGCTCAGTAAAAGAGCATCGTATAAGACTCACTTGTGTGGCCCAGTCCTTGATTGTTTCTTGAAGCAGATCCCAGTCGAGATTGAACATAAATGGTTCAGATTCTCCAGCAGCGACTCTCCGCGAATACTAACATTTCGTGCTCACCTATGAAAACTTTTTTCTTACCCGATTTTCTGAGTCCCGTCTATTGATGTAAATCATGGTTGGCTCTCTTTTTTTGAACTCAACTTCGACCTCATTTTTCGAAAAGTTCCGAAGTTCAAAAGAGAGTAATCTTCCGTTCCATTTGGCTTCTAAAAAGTTTACATAAACGGTAAAAACAAATGAAAATACGGTGAACTTGAAGCTGTAGATCTTCGCCTTCGAGAAAATCTCGAGAAAGAGTGTCGGTGATGTCTTCGTAGAAAGTCCACTGAGGTTCCTGCAAAGTCATTAAGCCGTTTTCCTTGGAAAAATGATTTTATGTGATGGACAGAAGCAAAAGTGTTTTTTGCAAATGGACAGCTAAAGGCCTTTGATAAGACAAATAAACCGATCACTCGCTTTATTTTATTGATGTGACTCATCACTAAAAATTGTGTGTTCCTTGATTTGTGGAAATTGTAGTTTTAATTAGAATAGCTTTTATTACATCGCTACAGAAAACACTTGCTTGTATTGTTGTATATTGTCAAAGTGATTCGATATTTTGCACTGTGTACCAATTCTTCAAGAAAACGAAAACAGACTCCAATATTAAACACTCAATTACACAATTATAGCAACTCGATTTCTCGACTCTAACTCGATGCCCAATTATTCAATTCCCCTAATTTCATATTTATATGAAATTTCAAGTAAATTTCTATGGTAATTTCAAGCTTTAGGTCAGAAACATAGTGTTATGCTTTTTATAGTACTTCGAAGTCCAGAGGTGCCAACCACTCGGCAGAATCGTTGAAAATATGAAATTAGGGGAATTGAATAATTGGGCGTTTAGTTACAGTCAAAAAACCAAGTTTCCATAATTGTGCCCAACTGTATTTGAATGTCTAATATTGGAGTCTGTTTTTGTTTTCTTGAAGAATTGGTACACAGTGCAAAACCTCGAATCACTTTGACAATATACAACAATACAAGCAAGTGTTTTCTGTACACTTTCGACTTTGAGACAGTAAGCTTCAACTCACCCCGGACATCACTGTTTTCCTTTGCCTATATTTTGAAGGGTTTTGAAGGGTTAAGGTAGCGACCGATCGTTAAACGCGATTTTCCCACTTGTCGAGCAATCTCTCGATTTGAGCGCCCTTTGCTATGCAATAAGGCAACCTGTCCTTTATCGAACTCGTCAAGAGCTGTTTCAGAGGGCAGCAACCTAAAATAAAATAATTGGGTAGGGAAAACAAAGAAAAATGATGCAAACAATAAGGAAAACAATGTGGAGTACTTGATGTGAAACGATCGTTTTTAATAATTAGTGAGAAATTTTTGGGAATTATTTGAAAAGGGTTTGTAAATTTATGTTTATTAAGGTCTTTAAACGCGCTCTGTTCAAGTTAGTTTAACAAAATTGGTACGATAGCATCGTTTTTATTATGGATTTATTTTTAGAAATGAATAAAACACTTGTGCAGTGCGTGAGAGAGGAACTGATGAAGCAAAGATTATTTAGATATTTTATTCCGAATCTAGCACAATCACTAATCTAGCGAGAAAATACAATAAATAAAATCAATCGTTGATTCAGTGTTTCAAAAGCCAAAGAAAAGCGATACAAAGTGGGCTCCGTTTATCACACAAACGATCTTCAGAGGAAGGACAAGAGAATCAGAGATATTCAAAATCAAAACAGCAAATAGGATTTCACAGAAAAGAGCTACTTTTCTGCGCAGGGGATAAAAGGAAATTTTTTGACAGATTCGATGAAAAAAAACGTTTGGAACGTTGTAAATAAGGCCGATAGACTTTTGTTGATATTTTGCCACCATAACTGTGGGACACCTGTATACAACGAAAGAATTATTTGGTCCCTTCCGTTCCGCTATAGAGAACGTCGACTGTACTTCTATTTTGTCGCGGAACCTTAGCACACCCACCCACCTAACAACGACTTTTGCCTTTTCTTAACACCTTTAAATGATCGATACTCTAAGGCTTTGTACGGTTTTAAACTTAAAAACTATGTTCTCGTTTTGAAGGTTTGAAATCTTAAATCTGTTCGGATTTGTGCAGTGGTTAGACTAAGAACAAGATTCCAAGAAATTGTTTGTGTTTATTTGCAGATTCCATGGAAGCAAAGCAAAGTCATTCCACTCCTTCCACGATTTTAGATTAGGTTGACAAGTTATAAACGATTAGGCAACAACTTGTCTTAGGCAATTTGAGGCAACAACCTGTCTATTCCATAGACCGCAAAAAAGAACATTAATCCAAAAGGTACTCTCCATTATTATCAATGATTTCTTGCCATCTTTGACGCATTTCCTTGATATTATTCTCAACAAACTGAGCGTCCTTTTTAAGCAAAGTAGAAATCAAGTGCGTTTTTGACTTGTGCATGATCATTGAAATGTTTTCCATAAAGGAAACATCGAACATTTCTGCCAATTCTCGTGTAGTGAGTTTTGGATCCTCTTTAATTTCTGCCAGCAAATCCACATCAGTCACTCCTGGAGGGTGCCTCTCATGCTGCTCATCCTGGAGACTTTCGTTGCCACTTTGAAAGCGTTGAAACCATTTTCGACATTGACTTTCGCTAATATTTCCATCTCCAAAAGCGGAAATAATTGTACGATGAGAAGATCAATAAAGTCCGTTTTGTGCATGATCATCGAAAAGTTTTCCATAGACGAATTGCTTTAACGATCGAAACAAATGGTAATCTGAGGGTGTAGGTAACTGAAATAGCTAATATGTGAAATTTGGGAAATTTTGAATTCGCATAAATGTAGAATATTTGGATTAAATAAATATTTATATAGTTAATTTAAAAATCTAAGGAACCTATCGAAAATATCCTTTGTTTGTCAAGTCAGCTCATGAGTTGAAAGAATTGGCGAAAATTCAGCATTTTATTAGATTGAATACTGTCAGGGTGTAAAGAAAATAATGCGCGCTTCGAATTTCCTGGTGCTAGAATTGTGTTTCGAATGTGCTTCGAATTTTGCCAATGTTTGCCAAAGTATCGATGAGAATTTGAGTTTTGTTTGGCCTTGACGTCAATCGTCCAGAACATGAATTTGACCAACTCCCGGCTATTTTCAAGAATGTTATTCACGAAGCACCCACGGAAGCTTCAGACACACATTTACCGAAATTTCCTGCTTTGTCTTTACCACTTTCACCAAAAGCTGTTCATTCTTGTGTAAAGGATACACGAAAGAGAATTCTATGCGAAATCTAGAAATTGCAAATTGGCTGATCAGAAACGAGAAAGAAACACAAGTTTAGTGTGAATTGCATACTAAAGAAAGTGTAAAGAAAATAATGCGCGTTCTTGATCAAAACTATTTGAAAACGAGAATTTGAAACCTAAAGATCGGCCAGAAGCTAAAAAAATTGCTCGCGATCTTATAAAAAAGGAATAAATACCAAATTTTGAACAAATCATCTCGAGTACTTTAGATCAATTGGTAAGGTATTCTTCATTTGTATCGATAACTTCTTGTCATCTTCTGTGTAGATCCCGGATTACATCGTCAAATTTAAACGGTTCCTTAGAGGTAAAATAGGCGTGGAGCTTTTTTATGAATTGAGCATGACTATCAAATTGTACATCTCTCAAGAAGTGCGAACATCCGAAATAAAAAATAATCTAACGGTGCAAGATCAGGGGAGTAAGGTGCGTGAGGTAAAAGTTACCAAGCTAGCTCCTCAATTTTTTTATGAGTAACTTTTGTAGTGTGTTTTAGCGTTATCATCGGACTCTTGACGGTTTGATCCCCAATTTCGCAAAAGCTTCGCTAACTCTCACTAGTTGTTTCGAGTAAAGGTCTGCATCGACTGCTTGCTTAAGTTTTAGCACTTCATAATGTACCAATCCGTTCGAATTCCACCATAAAAAGAGCTTTGATTCATGAATATCGGACTTGGGGGTGGTTTGCGGGCTTCACCAGCAAAGAGCCATTGATTTTTTCTAGTGACATTGTCATAACTGATCCAAGTCTCAGCAGAAGTCAAGATTCTGCCGAATGTGCGTTTGCACTTTTGAAGCAAGATGGAGCACTCGGTGACACGAGCTATTTGGTTGCCTTGGGTCAGCTCACGTGGAATCCATTGTCCATATCGAACCTTCTTCCCAAGTTGATGCAAATAGTTTTCAATTGTCACATGGCTGACGTCACAAAATCCTGCTAATTCCGGAAATTTGGAATCAATTTTAATAGAATTGGGCAAATCGTCATTTGAGATTCGTGGCTCATCGTGGCTGCTTTCGTTGCCGTCTCTAAAACGTTGAAACAATCAGCGACACTGACTTTCACTGAGCCTAAGCTGGAGTCAAGGTTTGTCATTGAGAAAAGCTTTTCTTTTGAGCACGAGAAGTTAAAAAGATTTCAATCGATATCGTTTTAAATGAAAGACTGAATTGAGGATAATGAATAGTTGTAAGATTGTCTGCTATAAATCCAGTCAAAGACAATGAGGAAGAAAGGAATGGGAAAGAAATGGAAGGGGGATTGAACCTTCGACTCTCTACTTATCGGGCAGACGCTTTGCCAGGGAAAAAATAGGAAATACAAGGAAGAAAGAAAGGAGGAAAGAAAGAAAGAGAGAAGGAAATCAAATCAAAAAGAAGAAATAAAATACAACAAGAAAATCAAGTAAATCTATTTATTGTTAGGTGTTGATCTACACCGGTGACACGGATATTTTTGACATTCATTTCGCCGCTCAATGGTTCACGAATCGTTTGGCTAACAACAGTAAATTCACGGTTTTTTTTTTCTTTTGAAATTTTATGTAAAATGAACTTTAGGTGAATAAAGCAAAAACTGAATGGTATTTCCAATACAATCCAACCTATTTCCCAATGGTGGCCGGATATCAAACGAGGTTCAGCGGTGGTTTGGATGTGATCACGGTGAAGGTGAGAGAGAGAGAGAGAGAAAAGAAAAGACAAGGGAACTCATCTTTAAATCTGTCTTTAATTGTACTGTACCAAAAACTGTAAAAAAATGCTTTACTTCTAGAAGCAATCTTCACTCATTCAGTTCACTAATTCCAGAAATTCATCTCCAGAAAGTCTTTTCATTCCTTTCGTATTTCCGTTTAAAACCAATACATCCACCAATTCAAATACGGTTTTTTATTAGAAAAGCCAATTATTTTCCTGCAAAATAGCATTAAAACGGATTTTAAATTGTTTATTTTTGAATTTTGATCAAAAAGGGCAACAAAAAGTCACTTGATCATCCCGTTTTGACACTTTTTTACTAAGAATACCTATCTTTGTGTCTATAGATAAAAGATAGAGCATATAAAGTTTAATAAATAGCCAAATTTTCAGAGAAATTCATTCAGTCAATTTCTTTGTAGAGATTCTTATAGATTTTGATGAAAAAACAGGGTTTTTACTCTCGATTTTGCGCTAAAAGTGAACCGAAATTGACTTAAAAAGATGGAAATTGAACAAGAAAGACTTTTTATAGAGTAATTGGTAGAGAAATAATAGAGAAAACGATAGATTAATTGATAAATTTGTTTTCATTAGATGAACGAAAAGAAAGGAAAAAAACTTTCTGGACAACTGAATCGTAAGAGACTTGAATGGGAATTAGAAGCTTTATCAAGACTATTGCTAACAACAAAACTATCAGGAACAATAATTTACTCTTTATTGAGAATTACTTTACTTTACTTATGTGCTTTTATCTCAATTCACTAGATCTGGCCAGACTTGTGAGCTTAATGAATAGCAAAATAAGATTTATTCAATGCACATGTGGCAGCAAAGCGTGTGAAAAACGTTTTAACAAAGCTTAAGGAAACAATTTGTAGCAGGAATCTAGAAATCTAGACATCTAGAAATCCAGGCATCTAGAAATCCAGGCATCTAGAAATCTAGGCATGTAGAAATCTAGAGACAAAATCTAGAGAAACTAAAGCCTGCTAGAGAAATCATTTTGATGAAAACAAAAAGAAACCAGCTTTGAGAAACAAATGAGAGAAACTTCTACCAAAATAGAAAGGAAGGGTCCTTTTATCCCCCAATTAAGTACGACATTGTCTAATGTACAGTATTTCTCGTGCCTTATTAGAAAACGGGTATCTTTCTAGTGACTGATTATCACAACCAGTCGCTGACTTAAGTCCGACTTGGGTAATTGAACCGATAAACTCGCCAACCATCAGTAATTCAGAAAATTTTTAGGGGGCCGGCCATATGGTGCCAACCGATTTGCCAGCTCAATCCGCTCAAATGATGTACAATTGGTTGAATGGAATCGATTACAGTGTTCCGAATCCATTCAATCCACCTGAACCCACTGCCGAGCCAAGCACTGATACAACAACTACAGCAGCAACGGGAACGACGGCGACTGCTGGAACGGGAACAACCACTACCGGAACGGGAACGATGACAACTGGAACAGGAACAACTGGAACTGGACCAACAACAACTACAACAACCACTACAACAACAACAACAACAACAACCACAACAACAACCACAACAACAACAACAACAACAACAACAACAACAACAACAACAACAACAACAACAACAACAACAACAACAACAACAACAACAACAACAACAACAACAACAACTACCACCCGTCGCACAACCACAAAATCATCCAATCAATCCTCGATTCTCACCACGATTTGTCTCTTCTTTGTTTCTGTGATTCTATTCAGATCAGAGTTTTCAAATTTTGTTCACTTATTCCTTTCTTTTGCTCAATTTTTTGATTAGAGGTTTCTCTGAGAATAAATTTATGGTTATACTGAAAATTGGAAACTAACGGGTTATAAGGCAAAAAATGAGACTCCGTTTATAATCCAATTTATCCAAGATTTTATTTAATTCAAACAAAAGTATGATATATCATTTGAAAGAAGAAGACAAATGCAACAAAATGAAACAGCTAATTATTTTCTATCACTCCGTTTCTCCTGATTTTATCAATCCTCTTCTTAGTACCCTCCGCGAGACGATGTACAAGTCTTGGCTCCATGTTCCGCAGACAATACTTAATCCGGTTCGATAGTTGCTGCGTGGTTTCTGCTTTCCAAGCGTTGGAATAAACTCTCCCTTTCAAAATAGCCCAAAAATCTTCAATTGACCGAGCTTCTGGCAGATTAGCCGGGTTATCTTCCTTAGCCACGTAATTTACGTTCTCCTGATTAAGGTGCTGCATCACAACTTTTGCGTGGTGGGAGCTAGCTTTATCTAGCCAAAACACATAGTTGTCATTATAGTTGGCTCGGATGTAAGGAATTAAACGCTTCTTGATGCACTCTTCTAGGTAAATGACACTGTTGATTGCAAAGTTGGATTCCTTAATGAGCGGCTCCGACCAACCGGCTGGTCCAATTGCTAACCACACCAAAACCTTCTTCTCAAACTTCGTTTTTGTGGAAAATTTTGTACTGGAGGGTGTATTCTTGATGTCCGAGGTATAGAAGAAGTTGTTTCCATTGACAGAAGAATGAGAAAGAGTGAAATATGACTCGTCATCAAGGACCCAAGCAACCTTAGAGAATTTTCGATACAGTCGTCCACACAACTTCTTGGCATCCGCTTGTTGCTTCTCAGTACGTTGTGGAATTCGTTGTTTCTTGCGAGCTTTTATTCCCAACTTCTTTAAGGTTCTATTGATAGTCGACTGGCTGCATTTGAAGCGTTTAGCCGCTTGATATTGTGAGATTCCGTCTTTGTTATCCATTGCTTTCCTCAGTGTAGCTCTTTTGCGTGTAGTCATCTTTCTGTTGGAGCCACCAGAACCTGCCTGACGAATTGCAGACAAGTTGCCTTTGAAACGATTGAGAATGCGATATAAAGTTGCTTTGGTACTCCTTCGGCTTGACAATGGCACATGGTGTAGAGTTTTCCCGCATTGATGTTCGCAGAGTAGGAGTTGTACACTCTCAATCTCAACGTCTCTTGCTTTGAAGCCATTTCTAAAGTTCTAATTTATTGCAGAAAAAAAACGAAGAAAACAAACAAAAACTAGAAAGAAAGTGCTACAAACTGCATGTTTACAATTCAATAGAATGCTAATACAATGATTTTCCGGTGCATTTAATCGAGTCTCATTTTTGCCGTATAACCCGTTATAATGGCAAAAGACTGTTAGTTTGGATTTAAGAAAAAAGATCTGTGAGCAGAACATGAAAATTTGAAACCCTTTTAGATGCAAAATCGGCTCTTTCTCATTTGGGTTGCTTTACGAATGAAATATCGACACAATTATCGACTTCTTTGAACATTTGTGAACTTTATACCTTAGTTAACTGCCTCTGGAGTAAGGAAGATCATGTGCGTTGTGGTGTAATGCTTAGCACAGTTGTAATGATAAGCGAAAGGTCGCCGGTTCGAGTCCTGGCGGCGCACAAGTTATGATCTGCCCTTGTTCCAACTTCTTTGAGCTTTACTCGGTTGTATTGTAGATATTGTATTGTAGAAATTGAAATCTTTGGCTCAATAACTTGAACAAATTTAATCATCGATTTGAAAAAAACTGAACTAAAAATTCACTGTGAAAAATGGCGATTGAGAGGTTATAAAGTTATAGTGTCATTGGCAAAGCAACCCAAATGTTAAGGAGTTGTAATAGTAGTAGTCGTTGTTGATGGTAAAACCCTAGGTAAATGTCATTTTAACTTGTCCTATACTGATTCTGATTCACGTCTAAAACTGTTGTTGGTACGGTGAGACCGGTTTTGTACTTGTGGTTTTTTTTCACTAGTAACAAAGTCAATTTTTAAATCATCACAAGAAAACAGAATTCTCTAGTGCTTCTCATAATTTGCATTCAAAGAAAATTCAATTTAAACTTTGTATAAAAGAACCTATAAGGCCTGGACCATGGCTAAAGCTGAAGGTCATGGCTGAAGTCATGAACGGTGTAACCAGGGTTCATCCTTTTGATTCTTTTGATGAAACGGAAACTCGAGTCTTCAGTCTTATGTACGCTATGATTTCAATAAGATGATTGAGCCAAGATAAGATGATTACATAAGTTTTTGAAAAATCTGAGAGCAGATGTGGAATTGTTGAAAGCGAAGGCAAGATATGTCTCCAATTAAGCCGCTTTGCCTCTAGCATTTCCCTGGTCTTCAGTCCTCAAATACTTGAATCATTTTTGTTTTTTTGAAAAGAATCGATGACTTTCAAAAGCTTCCCTTCTTTACCGTCTCTTCTCAGAACGGGGATCCTCAGGAAATTGATGGCGTCTGAAGCTTTACAATTGCTCAAAGTCAATCACGATCTCAGGGCATTCATTCTATTTTGTGGGCCAATCCCGTTGAATGTAGAGCGTGTCGATGTAACCATTTTCAAACCGAAAATTGATGAAAACAACGGTCAGATTGTGGCCAATGGGATGAGTATTCATCTATTATATGGGCCTTTCTTCTCACTTTATTTCGTCAGCCACGAGGCACATATCGAGCATTACAAGCTCTGTTGCGACGGTAGAGGCGTCACCGCGCGAATCAATCCCTTTCACGGACGACTCTTTCGACAAATTACAAATTCAGCTTCTTTATTCATAGAGTGTCATATAGAAAGGAAAACGCCATATAGAAACAGAAAGGAAAACGAAATGAAACCCGCTAAATTTGAGTTTTTAAACTTTTCGCCGCTCAGTATCAAGAAGCCATTACGAGCCCTTGACCTCATTTTCGACAGAGATTTCAACGTCACCACCTCACTTCTCTCATTGTATAAAGCGATTCCGTCGAGTCAAAGTCTTAAAATCAATTTTCCATCTCATCTCTCTGGTTTTCCATCTCATTGTGAAATATTGACATTTATGGAGAATCGCTGGGCACTCTCTGACATCTCCTTAATCCATTTTCCCTTTGAACTTGTCAAAGAAAACCTTTCTCTAATGAGAGAAGATGTGTCGCTCACAGTTTTTCTCGAGAATTGGCAGAATTTCGTGGATTGCGTGAAAATCTTCGTGAGAAGTGATCGCTTCAATGGGAAATTTCATATTGTTTTCTTTGCGGTTACAGGGAGAAGTGGAGCATATGAGGAACTAACTGGTATTTTCCTTCAAAATGACATACCGCTTGTTGAAAAGAGATCGTTTGCCACATACGAAATACTTCTTTTTCATCGTCCTCCATACATTTTTCACTTTCGTGTCGATTTCTCCCAGGGTGCGTGTGAAGTTATTAAAATCTTTCCTTAAAACCTTTCCTTAATTCATTTTGCCAACTTTTAGAACACATTTCGTTTAGTATCTGTAAAATGTTAGCCTTATCAATAAAAAATGTGATTTTAGAGCCTCTATATCATGAATAATGTGTAACCTTACACATAAAAAATGTTTGACTGTATATGAATATGAACCAAACACTCAATTCACACCTTTTTATATTTATTCAGAGCACAAATCACTGGTATTCATGTGGGATCATGTAGGCAATTCAAGGAATTTCGATGCGCACTTCGTAGGGCGTTGGCTGTAAAGAAATAAATATGTAGAATCAACCAAGTAGACCAACCATCACTGCAACACCATCATCGCGGTCCTCCTGAGCTCCGATTTGAGAGACTTCGATGAGCAAATGATACGTTCCAGGTCCGGTAACTAAAGAAATCTTATCTTTTTTTGAAAGAAACATATTACCCATTTAAAGTATCACCTGAAAAATCAAATGCGACATCATGCTCAGATTCACCGTCAGGTCCTCCGGCTGGAAGCATAAAAGCGTAAATGTCAGGGTAAGTGACACCGTTATGATTGAAGATCAGATGAGCTCTCTGGTTTTCACGCACCGAGATCTTAAAAAAAATTTAAGAGGTAAAAAATAAACTACCAAAATACAAAAAATAAGGTCAACCATAAAAAAAGTCTAGCAGATAAAATGTTAACCTCGACGAGAAGATTTTCCATTTCGTAGCTCCTGATCGCAAAACCGCCTGATCCTTGATAGAAATTGCCACCGAGGCTTGGAACAAAAATATAGCGAGAAGGAAGATTCGGAAGAGGCATCTAAATTAAAATTAAATAAATTAAAATAAAACACATTTCGTTTAGTATCTGTAAAATGTTAGCCTTATCAATAAAAAATGTGATTCTTAGAGCCTCTATATCATGAATAATTGCATGAGAAAGAAAAATTTAACGATTCAGAGAATTTTCATTATTTGATTTAAAATCAGAAAACTTTCACCAAGTTAAACCGCAGCTTATGATTTGCATTAAAGGTGATCGGTTTGAAGAGGAAATTGGGAGAGAACGGAAGAGCTACACTGAGGAAAGCAATGGATAACAAAGACGGAATCTCACAATATCAAGCGGCTAAACGCTTCAAATGCAGCCATTCGACTATCAATAGAACCTTAAAGAAGTTGGGAATAAAAGCTCGCAAGAAACAACGAATTCCACAACGTACTGAGAAGCAACAAGCGGATGCCAAGAAGTTGTGTGGACGACTGTATCGAAAATTCTCTAAGGTTGCTTGGGTCCTTGATGACGAGTCATATTTCACTCTTTCTCATTCTTCTGTCAATGGAAACAACTTCTTCTATACCTCGGACATCAAGAATACACCCTCCAGTACAAAATTTTCCACAAAAACGAAGTTTGAGAAGAAGGTTTTGGTGTGGTTAGCAATTGGACCAGCCGGTTGGTCGGAGCCGCTCATTAAGGAATCCAACTTTGCAATCAACAGTGTCATTTACCTAGAAGAGTGCATCAAGAAGCGTTTAATTCCTTACATCCGAGCCAACTATAATGACAACTATGTGTTTTGGCTAGATAAAGCTAGCTCCCACCACGCAAAAGTTGTGATGCAGCACCTTAATCAGGAGAACGTAAATTACGTGGCTAAGGAAGATAACCCGGCTAATCTGCCAGAAGCTCGGTCAATTGAAGATTTTTGGGCTATTTTGAAAGGGAGAGTTTATTCCAACGCTTGGAAAGCAGAAACCACGCAGCAACTATCGAACCGGATTAAGTATTGTCTGCGGAACATGGAGCCAAGACTTGTACATCGTAGTTATTGAAATGAATACAATTACATACTATCTGAAAATTTTCTGATTCACCTGAAAAATCGAATCCGACATCATGCTCAGATTCCCTTGAATGGTCGAGCCATGTACTCATTCCAGACCTAAAAGAATCCAAATAACCTTTACTAAAGAGGAAAAGCTTATGTCTCTTTTCTTTACTTTTTTGCTACTGTATCTTTTTATAACTTAAAAGTCCCTTTCGGTCTATCTTCAAACCTCGCATCGTGTAGTGAAGTGCTGGTGTAATCCGTGCAGCGTAAACGGGCTCGTTCAAAGCAACAGCAAATGGGAACACCGTTTTGCCTAAAATCAGCAATAAGTTTCAAAAGAACAAGCACTATCAAATTTATCTCGCTGCCCCTTTTCTTCTGAAGCAACAAGCTTATTGTACTCGTTCAACGTTTTCTTAACCCGAATATACCAAAAAATATTTAATAAGCGCAACCTCAGCATAATCCGCTCCAAATCCTTTTGCAAATTCTTGAACATTTCCATATCGGACAACGAATTTCTTCACATTGGCGTAGAATCCAAAAGCTGGTCGTCCAAAAGCATCTGTCATTTCATCGGTCATCAACATTACCGCAGTAACAAGTCCACCAGAACCTCCTTAAAAAACATATTGTTGCAAAATGTTTTACGTTACTTGGAAAATTTCAGCCTTGGTGCATTCATTGTTGATTTTGTTCGTTAAATAATCCCTTCATCCAAGTTCATTGCCAAATTTTAAAATAGTAATTGGTTAATCAAGTTGCTAAATTTACCGTCGTCCCTTTCCATTCAATAGCAAAGCGCCTTTTCCCCGAAGTGGTTTTGGCTGGATCGATGAAAGCAGTTAGATGCACCTAAAGGAAGCACCATTAATCTTGATTGGTGATATTAAAATGAAATATGCAGCTTCTATAAGTACTTTCAACATACTTGAACTCTATTCATTCCAACTCTATTCAAGGATGCACCCATGGCTCTAGCCATTTTTACTCGATCTCCTCGAGCGAAAGCTCAATTTGTTGTCGGAAGATTTGCCTAAAATAATGATAAATCATGGAATCATTGTCACGATCACCTCATCATTCGCAAACTCGATCAAAAGTGAGGCATCTGAGTCTTTGAGGCTTTATCTGCCGTATATCCACAAAACACCCTTTCCTTCAATCTATAAAACATTTAATTCGTTAATTTTAAAAATTTAAAGTTAATTACTTCCCGAATTGTCCCATTTGCTTCTTTTACTCGAACACCACAATGTATTCATTCCATGAAACAAGTCCCAGCACCTAAATATATGCTTTCAGTGATAAAATTACCAAGTCTTTACCTGATCTCAAGCATTTGTGTGAAAGAACCCGGATGCTCTTCTGAATAAGCGAGAATCTTCGAGTGTAAAGCCTAAAAATTGATTTTATCTTCTTAAATAATTAAATTAACCTTGATAATAATGAAATTAACTCCGACGGGAGTTAGAAAGAAAGCGACACCGTTCTGTCCCAATTTCCTCTTCAAACCGATCACCTCGATCTCCACCACGTCAATAGCTCCTAAAATTAAATAGGATGCGCAAAAAAACAACAAATTCACAGAATAATGGCTTTAAAACGTCAGAGTAAGCTTAAATGATTGACAAAAACGTTTCAGAATGATTTTAAACAGCCCTAGAAGAAATTTTTTAATCGTTTTTAAAAGTATGACAAGGTGAAACCACACAAATTCGAAGAGAACAAGCAAGATTTTGATGTGGTTTTATAAACATCACATCAAAGTAGCTCCGTTGATGAACAAAATATTTTAGAACCTGAATCTTATCGTTTTCAAAAATAAAACAAGGATGTTGAGACCGTTTATCTAAAGAATTTGTGATGAAATCGAGAAAAAGGATGAGCTGCGTCACCCAAACACGAAGAAAAATTGACCCGGTAACTTTGGAAATGAGTTTTGCGATTTTCGACATCAACCAAGTTTGACATTACTGGACATCAATCGAAATTGAGCTCTTTGGATGCCTGGTGATCTTGGGTTTTGGAAATACCCTTTCACTTAGTGTAACCTTACACATAAAAAATGTTTGACTGTATATGAATATGAACCAAACACTCAATTCACACCTTTTTATATTTATTCACGGCACAAATCACTGGTATTCATGTGGGATCATGTAGGCAATTCAAGAAATTTCGATGCGCACTTCGTAGGGCGTTGGCTGTAAAGAAATAAATATGTAGAATCAACCAAGTAGACCAACCATCACTGCAACACCATCACGGTCCTCCTGAGCTCCGATTTGAGAGACTTCGATGAGCAAATGATACGTTCCAGGTGCGGTAACTAAAGAAATCTTATCTTTTTTTGAAAGAAACATATTACCCATTTAAAGTATCACCTGAAAAATCGAATGCGACATCACGCTCAGATTCACCGCCAGGTCCTGCGGCTGGAAGAATAAAAGCGTAAATGTCAGGGTAAGTGACACCGTTATGATTGAAGATCAGATGAGCTCTCTGGTTTTCACGCACCGAGATCTTAAAAAAATTTAAGAGGTAAAAAATAAACTACCAAAATACAAAAAAATAAGGTCAACCATAAAAAAAGTCTAGCAGATAAAATGTTAACCTCGACGAGAAGATTTTCCATTTCGTAGCTCCTGATCGCAAAACCGCCTGCTCCTTGATAGAAATTGCCACCGAGGCTTGGAACAAAACTATAGCGAGAAGGAAGATTCGGAAGAGACATCTAAATTAAAATTAAATAAATTTTCAGGCTAACTACAAAATACTAAGTAGGAATAAACACTTACCGGATTGATTACAATCCGAAATTGTCGCAACAAGCCACTTCCATCGATGCGCGGAGAGATGAAACCAAGTCCAGGATCCCCAGGAGGAGAAGAAGATGGAGAGTGCTCGAAATCCAAATTGATGTTGACGTTCATGATTTATGATCCAGCAATGCGAGATTCATTGTTTTATTTGAGCTATAAATGCAAATTTGTCTTGAATGCAAAATTCCCTTGGGATGCAAATTCTCTCGTTTTAATGCAAATCATAAGCTACGGTTTAACTTGGTGAAAATTTTCTGATTCACCTGAAAAATCGAATCCGACATCATGCTCAGATTCCCTTGAATGGTCGAGCCATGTACTCATTCCAGACCTAAAAGAATCCAAATAACCTTTATTAAAGAGGAAAAGCTTATGTCTCTTTTCTTTACTTTTTTGCTACTGTATCTTTTTATAACTTAAAAGTCCCTTTCGGTCTATCTTGAAACCTCGCATCGTGTAGTGAAGTGCTGGTGTAATCAGTGCAGCGTAAACGGGCTCGTTCAAAGCAACAGCAAATGGGAACACCGTTTTGCCTAAAATCAGCAATAAGTTTCAAAAGAACAAGCACTATCAAATTTATCTCGCTGCCCCTTTTCTTCTGAAGCAACAAGCTTATTGTACTCGTTCAACGTTTTCTTAACCCGAATATACCAAAAAATATTTAATAAGCGCAACCTCAGCATAATCCGCTCCAAATCCTTTTGCAAATTCTTGAACATTTCCATATCGGACAACGAATTTCTTCACATTGGCGTAGAATCCAAAAGCTGGTCGTCCAAAAGCATCTGTCATTTCATCGGTCATCAACATTACCGCAGTAACAAGTCCACCAGAACCTCCTTAAAAAACATATTGTTGCAAAATGTTTTACGTTACTTGGAAAATTTCAGCCTTGGTGCATTCATTGTTGATTTTGTTCGTTAAATAATCCCTTCATCCAAGTTCATTGCCAAATTTTAAAATAGTAATTGGTTAATCAAGTTGCTAAATTTACCGTCGTCCCTTTCCATTCAATAGCAAAGCGCCTTTTCCCCGAAGTGGTTTTGGCTGGATCGATGAAAGCAGTTAGATGCACCTAAAGGAAGCACCATTAATCTTGATTGGTGATATTAAAATGAAATATGCAGCTTCTATAAGTACTTTCAACATACTTGAACTCTATTCATTCCAACTCTATTCAAGGATGCACCCATGGCTCTAGCCATTTTTACTCGATCTCCTCGAGCGAAAGCTCAATTTGTTGTCGGAAGATTTGCCTAAAATAATGATAAATCATGGAATCATTGTCACGATCACCTCATCATTCGCAAACTCGATCAAAAGTGAGGCATCTGAGTCTTTGAGGCTTTATCTGCCGTATATCCACAAAACACCCTTTCCTTCAATCTATAAAACATTTAATTCGTTAATTTTAAAAATTTAAAGTTAATTACTTCCCGAATTGTCCCATTTGCTTCTTTTACTCGAACACCACAATGTATTCATTCCATGAAACAAGTCCCAGCACCTAAATATATGCTTTCAGTGATAAAATTACCAAGTCTTTACCTGATCTCAAGCATTTGTGTGAAAGAACCCGGATGCTCTTCTGAATAAGCGAGAATCTTCGAGTGTAAAGCCTAAAAATTGATTTTATCTTCTTAAATAATTAAATTAACCTTGATAATAATGAAATTAACTCCGACGGGAGTTAGAAAGAAAGCGACACCGTTCTGTCCCAATTTCCTCTTCAAACCGATCACCTCGATCTCCACCACGTCAATAGCTCCTAAAATTAAATAGGATGCGCAAAAAAACAACAAATTCACAGAATAATGGCTTTAAAACGTCAGAGTAAGCTTAAATGATTGACAAAAACGTTTCAGAATGATTTTAAACAGCCCTAGAAGAAATTTTTTAATCGTTTTTAAAAGTATGACAAGGTGAAACCACACAAATTCGAAGAGAACAAGCAAGATTTTGATGTGGTTTTATAAACATCACATCAAAGTAGCTCCGTTGATGAACAAAATATTTTAGAACCTGAATCTTATCGTTTTCAAAAATAAAACAAGGATGTTGAGACCGTTTATCTAAAGAATTTGTGATGAAATCGAGAAAAAGGATGAGCTGCGTCACCCAAACACGAAGAAAAATTGACCCGGTAACTTTGGAAATGAGTTTTTGCGATTTTCGACATCAACCAAGTTTGACATTACTGGACATCAATCGAAATTGAGCTCTTTGGATGCCTGGTGATCTTGGGTTTTGGAAATACCCTTTCACTTAGTGTAACCTTACACATAAAAAATGTTTGACTGTATATGAATATGAACCAAACACTCAATTCACACCTTTTATATTTATTCACGGCACAAATCACTGGTATTCATGTGGGATCATGTAGGCAATTCAAGAAATTTCGATGCGCACTTCGTAGGGCGTTGGCTGTAAAGAAATAAATATGTAGAATCAACCAAGTAGACCAACCATCACTGCAACACCATCACGGTCCTCCTGAGCTCCGATTTGAGAGACTTCGATGAGCAAATGATACGTTCCAGGTGCGGTAACTAAAGAAATCTTATCTTTTTTTGAAAGAAACATATTACCCATTTAAAGTATCACCTGAAAAATCGAATGCGACATCACGCTCAGATTCACCGCCAGGTCCTGCGGCTGGAAGAATAAAAGCGTAAATGTCAGGGTAAGTGACACCGTTATGATTGAAGATCAGATGAGCTCTCTGGTTTTCACGCACCGAGATCTTAAAAAAATTTAAGAGGTAAAAAATAAACTACCAAAATACAAAAATAAGGTCAACCATAAAAAAAGTCTAGCAGATAAAATGTTAACCTCGACGAGAAGATTTTCCATTTCGTAGCTCCTGATCGCAAAACCGCCTGCTCCTTGATAGAAATTGCCACCGAGGCTTGGAACAAAACTATAGCGAGAAGGAAGATTCGGAAGAGACATCTAAATTAAAATTAAATAAATTTTCAGGCTAACTACAAAATACTAAGTAGGAATAAACACTTACCGGATTGATTACAATCCGAAATTGTCGCAACAAGCCACTTCCATCGATGCGCGGAGAGATGAAACCAAGTCCAGGATCCCCAGGAGGAGAAGAAGATGGAGAGTGCTCGAAATCCAAATTGATGTTGACGTTCATGATTTATGATCCAGCAATGCGAGATTCATTGTTTTATTTGAGCTATAAATGCAAATTTGTCTTGAATGCAAAATTCCCTTGGGATGCAAATTCTCTCGTTTTAATGCAAATCATAAGCTACGGTTTAACTTGGTGAAAATTTTCTGATTCACCTGAAAAATCGAATCCGACATCATGCTCAGATTCCCTTGAATGGTCGAGCCATGTACTCATTCCAGACCTAAAAGAATCCAAATAACCTTTATTAAAGAGGAAAAGCTTATGTCTCTTTTCTTTACTTTTTTGCTACTGTATCTTTTTATAACTTAAAAGTCCCTTTCGGTCTATCTTGAAACCTCGCATCGTGTAGTGAAGTGCTGGTGTAATCAGTGCAGCGTAAACGGGCTCGTTCAAAGCAACAGCAAATGGGAACACCGTTTTGCCTAAAATCAGCAATAAGTTTCAAAAGAACAAGCACTATCAAATTTATCTCGCTGCCCCTTTTCTTCTGAAGCAACAAGCTTATTGTACTCGTTCAACGTTTTCTTAACCCGAATATACCAAAAATATTTAATAAGCGCAACCTCAGCATAATCCGCTCCAAATCCTTTTGCAAATTCTTGAACATTTCCATATCGGACAACGAATTTCTTCACATTGGCGTAGAATCCAAAAGCTGGTCGTCCAAAAGCATCTGTCATTTCATCGGTCATCAACATTACCGCAGTAACAAGTCCACCAGAACCTCCTTAAAAAACATATTGTTGCAAAATGTTTTACGTTACTTGGAAAATTTCAGCCTTGGTGCATTCATTGTTGATTTTGTTCGTTAAATAATCCCCTTCATCCAAGTTCATTGCCAAATTTTAAAATAGTAATTGGTTAATCAAGTTGCTAAATTTACCGTCGTCCCTTTCCATTCAATAGCAAAGCGCCTTTTCCCCGAAGTGGTTTTGGCTGGATCGATGAAAGCAGTTAGATGCACCTAAAGGAAGCACCATTAATCTTGATTGGTGATATTAAAATGAAATATGCAGCTTCTATAAGTACTTTCAACATACTTGAACTCTATTCATTCCAACTCTATTCAAGGATGCACCCATGGCTCTAGCCATTTTTACTCGATCTCCTCGAGCGAAAGCTCAATTTGTTGTCGGAAGATTTGCCTAAAATAATGATAAATCATGGAATCATTGTCACGATCACCTCATCATTCGCAAACTCGATCAAAAGTGAGGCATCTGAGTCTTTGAGGCTTTATCTGCCGTATATCCACAAAACACCCTTTCCTTCAATCTATAAAACATTTAATTCGTTAATTTTAAAAATTTAAAGTTAATTACTTCCCGAATTGTCCCATTTGCTTCTTTTACTCGAACACCACAATGTATTCATTCCATGAAACAAGTCCCAGCACCTAAATATATGCTTTCAGTGATAAAATTACCAAGTCTTTACCTGATCTCAAGCATTTGTGTGAAAGAACCCGGATGCTCTTCTGAATAAGCGAGAATCTTCGAGTGTAAAGCCTAAAAATTGATTTTATCTTCTTAAATAATTAAATTAACCTTGATAATAATGAAATTAACTCCGACGGGAGTTAGAAAGAAAGCGACACCGTTCTGTCCCAATTTCCTCTTCAAACCGATCACCTCGATCTCCACCACGTCAATAGCTCCTAAAATTAAATAGGATGCGCAAAAAACAACAAATTCACAGAATAATGGCTTTAAAACGTCAGAGTAAGCTTAAATGATTGACAAAAACGTTTCAGAATGATTTTAAACAGCCCTAGAAGAAATTTTTTAATCGTTTTTAAAAGTATGACAAGGTGAAACCACACAAATTCGAAGTGAACAAGCAAGATTTTGATGTGGTTTTATAAACATCACATCAAAGTAGCTCCGTTGATGAACAAAATATTTTAGAACCTGAATCTTATCGTTTTCAAAAAATAAAACAAGGATGTTGAGACCGTTTATCTAAAGAATTTGTGATGAAATCGAGAAAAAAGGATGAGCTGCGTCACCCAAACACGAAGAAAAATTGACCCGGTAACTTTGGAAATGAGTTTTGCGATTTTCGACATCAACCAAGTTTGACATTACTGGACATCAATCGAAATTGAGCTCTTTGGATGCCTGGTGATCTTGGGTTTTGGAAATACCCTTTCACTTAGTGTAACCTTACACATAAAAAATGTTTGACTGTATATGAATATGAACCAAACACTCAATTCACACCTTTTTATATTTATTCACGGCACAAATCACTGGTATTCATGTGGGATCATGTAGGCAATTCAAGAAATTTCGATGCGCACTTCGTAGGGCGTTGGCTGTAAAGAAATAAATATGTAGAATCAACCAAGTAGACCAACCATCACTGCAACACCATCACGGTCCTCCTGAGCTCCGATTTGAGAGACTTCGATGAGCAAATGATACGTTCCAGGTGCGGTAACTAAAGAAATCTTATCTTTTTTTGAAAGAAACATATTACCCATTTAAAGTATCACCTGAAAAATCGAATGCGACATCACGCTCAGATTCACCGCCAGGTCCTGCGGCTGGAAGAATAAAAGCGTAAATGTCAGGGTAAGTGACACCGTTATGATTGAAGATCAGATGAGCTCTCTGGTTTTCACGCACCGAGATCTTAAAAAAATTTAAGAGGTAAAAAATAAACTACCAAAATACAAAAAATAAGGTCAACCATAAAAAAAGTCTAGCAGATAAAATGTTAACCTCGACGAGAAGATTTTCCATTTCGTAGCTCCTGATCGCAAAACCGCCTGCTCCTTGATAGAAATTGCCACCGAGGCTTGGAACAAAACTATAGCGAGAAGGAAGATTCGGAAGAGACATCTAAATTAAAATTAAATAAATTTTCAGGCTAACTACAAAATACTAAGTAGGAATAAACACTTACCGGATTGATTACAATCCGAAATTGTCGCAACAAGCCACTTCCATCGATGCGCGGAGAGATGAAACCAAGTCCAGGATCCCCAGGAGGAGAAGAAGATGGAGAGTGCTCGAAATCCAAATTGATGTTGACGTTCATGATTTATGATCCAGCAATGCGAGATTCATTGTTTTATTTGAGCTATAAATGCAAATTTGTCTTGAATGCAAAATTCCCTTGGGATGCAAATTCTCTCGTTTTAATGCAAATCATAAGCTACGGTTTAACTTGGTGAAAATTTTCTGATTCACCTGAAAAATCGAATCCGACATCATGCTCAGATTCCCTTGAATGGTCGAGCCATGTACTCATTCCAGACCTAAAAGAATCCAAATAACCTTCATTAAAGAGGAAAAGCTTAAGTCTCATTTCTTTTACTTTTTGCTACTGTATTTTTTTTATAACTTAAAAGTCCCTTTCGGTCTATCTTGAAACCTCGCATCGTGTAGTGAAGTGCTGGTGTAATCAGTGCAGCGTAAACGGGCTCGTTCAAAGCAACAGCAAATGGGAACACCGTTTTGCCTAAAATCAGCAATAAGTTTCAAAAGAACAAGCACTATCAAATTTATCTCGCTGCCCCTTTTCTTCTGAAGCAACAAGCTTATTGTACTCGTTCAACGTTTTCTCAGCCTGAAATATACCAAAAATATTTAATAAGCGCAACCTCGGCATAATCCGCTCCAAATCCTTTTGCAAATTCTTGAACATTTCCATATCGGACAACGAATTTCTTCACATTGGCGTAGAATCCAAAAGCTGGTCGTCCAAAAGCATCTGTCATTTCATCGGTCATCAACATTACCGCAGTAACAAGTCCACCAGAACCTCCTTAAAAAACATATTGTTGCAAAATGTTTTACGTTACTTGGAAAATTTCAGCCTTGGTGCATTCATTGTTGATTTTGTTCGTTAAATAATCCCTTCATCCAAGTTCATTGCCAAATTTTAAAATAGTAATTGGTTAATCAAGTTGCTAAATTTACCGTCGTCCCTTTCCATTCAATAGCAAAGCGCCTTTTCCCCGAAGTGGTTTTGGCTGGATCGATGAAAGCAGTTAGATGCACCTAAAGGAAGCACCATTAATCTTGATTGGTGATATTAAAATGAAATATGCAGCTTCTATAAGTACTTTCAACATACTTGAACTCTATTCATTCCAACAAGGATGCACCCATGGCTCTAGCCATTTTTACTCGATCTCCTCGAGCGAAAGCTCAATTTGTTGTCGGAAGATTTGCCTAAAATAATGATAAATCATGGAATCATTGTCACGATCACCTCATCATTCGCAAACTCGATCAAAAGTGAGGCATCTGAGTCTTTGAGGCTTTATCTGCCGTAAATCCACCCGTTGCAAGAACAACACCCTTTCCTTCAATCTATAAAACATTTAATTCGTTAATTTTAAAAATTTAAAGTTAATTACTTCCCGAATTGTCCCATTTGCTTCTTTTACTCGAACACCACAATGTATTCATTCCATGAAACAAGTCCTAGCACCTAAATATATGCTTTTAGTGATAAAATTACTAGACTTTACCTTGGTCTCAAGCATTTGTGTGAAAGAACCCGGATGTTCTTCTGAATAAGCGAGAATCTTCGAGTGTAAAGCCTAAAAATTGATTTTATCTTCTTAAATAATTAAATTAACCTTGATAATAATGAAATTAACTCCGACGGGAGTTAGAAAGAAAGCGACACCGTTCTGTCCCAATTTCCTCTTCAAACCGATCACCTCGATCTCCACCACGTCAATAGCTCCTAAAATTAAATAGGATGCGCAAAAAACAACAAATTCACAGAATAATGGCTTTAAAACGTCAGAGTAAGCTTAAATGATTGACAAAAACGTTTCAGAATGATTTTAAACAGCCCTAGAAGAAATTTTTTAATCGTTTTTAAAAGTATGACAAGGTGAAACCACACAAATTCGAAGTGAACAAGCAAGATTTTGATGTGGTTTTATAAACATCACATCAAAGTAGCTCCGTTGATGAACAAAATATTTTAGAACCTGAATCTTATCGTTTTCAAAAATAAAACAAGGATGTTGAGACCGTTTATCTAAAGAATTTGTGATGAAATCGAGAAAAAGGATGAGCTGCGTCACCCAAACACGAAGAAAAATTACCTTGATAATAATTAAATTAACTCCGACGGGAGTTGGGCGACCTTCTTTTGGAGAAGGAATCCAGTGTGTACTTTAACTTGGTGAAAGTTTTCTGATTTTAAATTAAATAATGAAAATTCTCTGAATCGTTAAATTTTTCTTTCTCATGCAATTATTCATGATATAGAGGCTCTAAGAATCACATTTTTTGTTGATAAGGCTAACATTTTACAGATACTAAACAAAATGTGTTCTAAAAGTTGACAAAATGAATTAAGGAAAGGTTTTAAGGAAAGATTTTAATAACTTCACACGCACCCTGGGAGAAATCGACACGAAAGTGAAAAATGTATGGAGGACGATGGAAAAGAAGTATTTCGTATGTGGCAAACGATCTCTTTTCAACAAGCGGTATGTCATTTTGAAGGAAAATACCAGTTAGTTCCTCATATGCACCACTTCTCGCTGTAACCGCAAAGAAAACAATATGAAATTTCCCATTGAAGCGATCACTTCTCCCGAAGATTTTCACGCAATCCACGAAATTCTGCCAATTCTCGAGAAAAACTGTGAGCGACACATTTTCTCTCATTAAAGAAAGGTTTTCTTTGACAAGTTCAAAGGGAAAATAGATTAAGGAGATGTCAGAGAGTGCCCAGCGATTCTCCATAAATGTCAATATTTCACAATGAGATGGAAAACCAGAGGGATGAAATGGAAAACTGATTTTAAGACTTTGACTCGACTGAATCGCTTTATACAATGAGAGAAGTGAGGTGGTGACGTTGAAATCTCTGTCGAAAATGAGGTCAAGGGCTCGTAATGGCTTCTTGATACTGAGCGGCGAAAAGTTTAAAAACTCAAATTTAGCGGGTTTCATTTCGTTTTCCTTTCTGTTTCTATATGGCGTTTTCCTTTCTATATGACACTCTATGAATAAAGAAGCTGAATTTGTAATTTGTCGAAAGAGTCGTCCGTGAAAGGGATTGATTCGCGCGGTGACGCCTCTACCGTCGCAACAGAGCTTGTAATGCTCGATATGTGCCTCGTGGCTGACGAAATAAAGTGAGAAGAAAGGCCCATATAATAGATGAATACTCATCCCATTGGCCACAATCTGACCGTTGTTTTCATCAATTTTCGGTTTGAAAATGGTTACATCGACACGCTCTACATTCAATGGGATTGGCCCACAAAATAGAATGAATGCCCTGAGATCATGATTGACTTTGAGCAATTGTAAAGCTTCAGACGCCATCAATTTCCTGAGGATCCCCGTTCTGAGAAGAGACGGTAAAGAAGGGAAGCTTTTGAAAGTCATCGATTCTTTTCAAAAAAACAAAAATGATTCAAGTACTTGAGGACTGAAGACCAGGGAAATGCTAGAGGCAAAGCGGCTTAATTGGAGACATATCTTGCCTTCGCTTTCAACAATTCCACATCTGCTCTCAGATTTTTCAAAAACTTATGTAACCACATATTGAATCGGCTCTCGTTTTCTTGTTTCTTCTTGTCCAATAAATTTCTTTTAGTTTAAAATTCTTTTTTTGGTACAGAATTTTGGTATGAAATGCCTTGAATATCTTGTGCGGGTAATTATGGCGCACCCTGTAGCTATGAAATAGTTAAGAAATTCTGTAAAAAGTTTCACTACATCTTTCAACTCTAAAATCTTTGTAATAAATCATCATAAAAACAGAAAAATCTTTCAAATTAGCCATAAGTCAATGTCACAAATCCAAATACAAAAAAAAGTCTTTGAGAGAAAAAAATAATCCAACAATCAACAAAACGCTCTTGCCCCATTCTCGTATTCTGTTGTTTACTATGGTATAAACGAACCTCGATATAACGAATGGACATTGCGGTCCCTTCACATTCGTTATATCGAGGTTCGACTGTATTTGATAAACTGATAAAGTATTTTCTGTATTTGCTGCGTTGCGAAACCAAAAGATTCCTTATTTCGTTAGTTGCAGCAAACAACAAGTGCGATGTTTGCGTCCCACCACGAGTACTAGGGTGTTCCTCTTTTTTGCCAAATTTTGAATAAGAAAGTTACAAATTTTCCCATTTGCAGAAGAAACAGTGCTGTGTTTAGGTCATACCCATTTTTTTTCAATATTTGTGCTGAAATAGGTCTTTTACGATTAACATTTTTATTCAATCCGTTCATCACTATTAATGGGACCATGAAGCCTCCGCCACGAATCTTGCGCCGCCTATGTTAATCGCGAATCTTGCGCCATAAAACAAAAAGCGAAGATTGCGCCACGCGAAGCTTGCGCCGCATAATTTTTGTTTAGTAGTTTAAACTTTCGTTTATGACAGCGCGACACAAGTTTCGCGGCGCAAGATTCGCGATTAACATAGGCGGCGCAACTTCATGGTCCCCTATTACTTTATCGGTTTATCAAATACGTCTAATTTTTGGCGCGGAATTCATTATTGATTTTTGTGAATTAATCATTAGTCATTAACTTTAATTGTTTAGATGGCACCTGCACTTTGTTTCTCCAAAGATTTCGATTCTTTCACACTGGAATCGGATTATTTGAAGATTGTTTATGGAGGCAAACCCTTTCGTTTTGGCTACGCAACCAATCATGCGGATCGGAAATTTTTCATTAAATCCTTGGGCAAGATCGAGATTACCTTGCGGGAAATGTTGCTTCAGGTTCATTTTTTATATCTTTTCGTATATATCAACTTGATTATCGGCTAGTTAATACATTTCAGGACGTAATATAATTCAAAGATTTCTTTATTTCAGTGTGAAGATCAAATTGGATTTGATACCGCTTATCGCGTCGACCTCTGTGCTGAGTTTGAAGATGCACTCAAGTTTGGTAGTTTTGTGGAAAAACTGACAAGGGTTGCTGGCTATCATCAGGTAGTCTTTTAAATTTTTACTCGATATTTGTTTAAACTCCTTGATTCTTGATCATTGGTTTTACCTCTAATTTTAAATAGACATTAGGCTTTTTTCTGGAATTGAATCAATAAATTTTTAGGTACAGCCTCCCGATTGCGAGTTATCGAGAAATACCACTTTTGACTCTGAGGATGAAGATGATATGAATGAATCCGACATCAGTGAAAACACGTAGGCTTCATTTCAGTTAAATGAAATGATTAAAAGAGACTTACATATTTATTGATTTATCTATTTATTTCTTGTGGATTTCTCATTGTATTCTTCTAGTATCCTGATTTATTCTATGATGTATGTCGTTGTACCAGAGTAAATAAATTATTTAAATGAAGGATTTTATGAGTTTTTGAAGGCATGCCGTTTGCTTAGACACCTGTTATGAAATTGACGTGCAATTGACAATTTAGAAGTTCATCGTTTTGCTGCAGCAACTATTGATGTTTCTGCAAAGAAACAAACTCGGATGTTTATCCCACCACCTGCGATCTTAAAACCAGCAGAACTGTGGACGGGCAAGCAGGTCATATTGTGTCATAAAAACTTAAACGTCAAAGTTTAGCCTATTGAATTGATTATTCGGCCTGATGCGGATTCTGAGATAAATTTGAACTTGAAGACGAGGAACAAAAGCTACACGAAAAATGAAGATCTATGTCACAACGTATTGTTTTTCCAAGTTCATCTCAAATCTTAGTTTAGGATTCATATGTTATCATCAGAAACTTATTTGTGGTGTTCTAGACAAGTCTCTGCTAGGATCGGGTAAGAAGGTGCGGTTGTTCCTTGGTGCAACTAAATTTTCAGGCTCCAAAGTAAACATTTTCTACATACTTCTAAGAGATTTTGGTGAACATGCGGCCGTGGATGCAATGTGGCGCTTAGCGCGAATGGCGCCCGTGTATTTGACTAGCCGGTTCATAAAACTATAGAATTGTGTTTTGTAAGTGACTAAATTCAGTGGCTTTTCTATCGGCATTGGTGATGTAAAACCGTCAGAAAGATTGCTTAGTGAACGAAAAGCTCTCATCAATGATGGTAAATATTGAAGTCTAAGATATAAATGTGATGACTTTATTGCACAACTAGCTTCTGGACGACTCAAGGTTTTTTTAGCATCACCAATTACATTTTTTTTTCTTTAGACGCAACCCGGCTGCAGTGAAAAAGAAACACTTGAGTCTTCGATTCTTCGAGAATTGTCCGTGGTTCGTGATCACGCAGGTCAAGTCTGTGTCAAGAGTCTCAGCTCGTAAGCTTTAATTTTTATGTACTTTATTAATATTTTCTAGACATAACGCACCCCTTACAATGGCTATCTGTGGATCAAAAGGCTCGTTTATTAACATCTCTCAAATGATTGCTTGCGTTGGTCAGCAAGCCATTTCGGGACATCGACCTCCTGATGGATTTGAAGTAAATAAATTTTCAAAGGGACAATTGTTATTTTAATTAAGAACCGATGTCTTCCGCATTTTCCCCGATATCAAAATACACCGCAAGCCAAAGGATTTGTCGAAAACAGGTTTTTTTCGATCATCATGACCTACCGAACTTCATTTAGTTTTTAGTCTGGACTTACATCAACCGAGTTCTTTTTTCGCACGATGGGTGGACGAGGGGGCCTTGTCGGTACAGCGGTGAAAACGGCTGAAACTGGTTACATGCAATGGCGGCTAGTGAAAAGCTTCGAGGATTTGTGTGTAAGCTACGATCAAACCGTTCGCACCTCTGCCGGAGAAATCGTTGCATTTGAATTTGGAGGTGATAGACTTGATCCTGCTCTTATGGAGGTGAAGTCAAATTATCTTTTGCTCATAAGTAAACTCCGTTTACTCTAAAGATGATTTAGTTTTATTATTAGTACTTTAGGCAAAAGATGGCTCGGTAATCGATTTTGAGCATGTTTGGAATCATGTCCGTTGTCTTACCAACTCGAATGCATGCGATGAAGAGATCGTCCCAGCCGAAATGAAAGTAATCTTTAATAACTTTCTAAGTAAAAGATTACCTATTTAGATCTTTATCAAAAATACCCTTCAAGATCACTTTTCAAGTGAGGTCAAAGCATATTTGGTAGAAAAACACAGGTATTTCATGCTTTTTGAATTTTGAATTTTTATTTTTAGAGAAGAAAAGTCACAAATTGACAACGGAAAACAAACAATAGCGCCAAACTTGTCAGATGATGAGCTCTTCGAAGAAGTCCCAAGTAGAGGCATACGATCTTCGACTTTGGCTGTAAAAACAATCTGGAATGACTTGTGGCAGTTTTTTGGGCGAAAGTATGTTGCTAAGTTTTCAGCATCTGAAATATTTGGAACGCGTTTTAGATCATGAATCGAGGTGCAAAAGTCTACGAAATACCTTCAACTTGCAAAAGTCACAGGTAGTTTGTTGAAACTTTGCTTAGTCCATTATTTATTAGGAATGCGAGGTAGAGAAGGTAGAAAATATTTGCCAGTGGAAATGTAGTTCGAAATGTCGAAAGAATTTGTTTATCTATACGAATTGAATTTCAAAAATAGAAAAGTTGTATATTGACCAAAACACGAACTTGAAACATTGGCTGTACTTCGTCGACTCCAATCGTATCCAGTCTGTACGAATTTAATCAAAAAAAAACTGGACTCCGTTCTTTTTTCCAAAATACAATACAAAGTTTGAGAATCAAAATTCAAAAATCTAATTCAATAAACCCAGTTCAGCAAGTTCATTAAGAAATTCAAATATACGATTTTTTGATCAAAGTTTTGAATTTTTGAAAAAAGTCAGGGATCATAAAAAAGAACGGAGTATAAAAGAAATGTTGAGAGTGGGAGATTCCAACAAGTTTTTTAGATTAAAATTTAAAGAAACTTATTCTTATCTTTAAATAAAATGCTTTTTTCAGCGATGAATCGTCTCCTCATTCTCCTCGTTTTCCTCGTTCCACTAATGACGGCGATCTCGTTGAAATTCGATGTGAAAAAGCTGGTGAAAGGACTTCTTAATGAAGTCGATGCTGAAAAATTTGATCAATTTGCAAACAAGTAAGTTGTTTATTTGAAAAAAATGAGCATTAATATAGAAAATTCTCTGATTTAAGATGGAAAAAGGACTATGGAAATACTGGAGAGGTTTTGAAGCGAGCGAAGATTTGGAAGAAAAACAAAGACGACATTGAAAAGGTTTAGATTCAATGAATAGTTATTAACATAATTATCCAAAAAAAGAAAAGAATAATATTTTTGTGTTCAGGAAAACAAGAAAAATCGCGGCTACACTCTGGTCGAGAATTTCTTCACCGATTTGGATGATGATGAGAAAGCGAAAGTAACTTTTTAGATATCGTAAAATCAATTTTTATTTTTATATTTATATTTAAGAAAGAAATTTTGACTTTTGTCTTAATTTAGCATACGATGAAAGCACATTTTGTCACTGATGTAATCGAGGGAATAAAAGAGGGATTACCACCACGGAGAAATTTGACGAAACCCCCGAGAAACACTCGAACGAAGAGAGAAACTCTCCCGGAAACTTGGGTGGGAGAAAAATAAATACTTTAATTGTGAATGACTATTGTTTTATGAATCCTATTGAATGTTTTAGTTTCTCTAAATCAATACCGATCTTTTCGGGTAGGATAGTTGAAAGAAAACGAGTCGGAAGGTTAAATTTTTGGGCTAGTGAGACCGAACACTAGTGAGTATCATTAATCATTTGATATCAGAAAAGATTTATTGATTAGACATGAAATATTATGTACAAAACAAGAAGCTCATCAAAATACTCTCAAAATAAGTTACAGTTAAACATGCTTATAGGAAATGAACTCTCTTAGCTAAAGAGTGAATCTTTGTAGTTTTGGTTGCAATTCGAAGAGCTTTCATTGTTTAGCAAACATAGTTCGTTTCTAAAAACATGGATCTGTGTGCGTTATGCATTTTCAGTTACAATCAATGTTACAGTTACAATTTTCAGTATGAGGGTGCGGTGGAAGACTGGCGATGGTACGGCCTCGTTCCACCAGTCAAAGATCAACGCGAATGCAATTCGTGTTTCTCTTTTGCGTATGTCAATCTTTTTAATAAGAAAACAAAAACTAATAAAAATTTTCATTTTCCAGCCCAATGGCCACCATCGAAGTGCCGTTGAATTGGGCGTCGAATTCGGGTGCCAGCAATGTTTTGTCTGAGCAGGTGGGAAAGACATATACCGTTGGTTCTCTAATAGTAGTGCACCCTGAGCGTTGCCTAAATTCCTCGAAATCTCGAGAACCGCTTATCAGAACCTATCGATGTGGGATCGGAAAATGTAGCTGACGATGAGATCTAGTGGGGGATTAGAGTGTTGAGCTTCTGCAAAAGCTTGGAAACCGTAAAATCGTCACTAACTTGGCTCGCCGGGGTGCACTACTATTAGAGAAAATACGGTAATACGTATTTTCTCTAATAGTTATGTAAATAAACTACTTTAATTCCAATTGAATCCACTGTCAAAATTTTAGCAAAGAAAAAGAAATTCGACCTCAAAAAAATAAAAATAACCCATTCGATTAAAGAATCAATGAACAGTGTTTTTTAGGATGGACTTGATTGTGCCGGAGCCGGTGATTGTGAAGGCGGTGGATACATGCACAAAATCTATCAGTAAATAGAAAATACTAGCAATTAAAATAAAAAAATGCAATCCTTAAGGTATTCAATGAGCGCAGGAAATGCTGATTCATCTTTGTATCCATACACAGAAAGCGATGGAACCTGTCAAACACAAATCGTATGGAAAAATATAAGAAATGCAAAATTGGATCGCAATTTTAGACGAGACGAAACCTCATCAAGGATTACAAGAGGTTGACAACGGTGCAACAAATGGAAGACGCCATTTATTGGAATGGACCGATCACTGGCGGTTTGTGATCTTGCGATCTTGCGAGATGGTGGATGTTCTTCGGTTCATTCAAAAACTGTTTAAAGAATGAAGCGCTTTTTTTTTAAACACACTTATTTCTTTTCATTTTTCTTATTTCTATCCCCGATTTTCAGCGATTCGTGTCCCGAACTCGCTTCACTCAGCCGGCACGGGAATCTTCTATCCCGATCAAACGACTTGTGATGCAACAGTGACGAATGGACACACAATGGCCATTGTGGGATACGGTAAACACAAAAAAGATAGCTTGAAGAAGGAACGAGTACTTTTTTAGGAACCGAGAATGGGATCGACTATTGGATCATTCGAAATTCGTGGGGTCCGGACTGGGCTGAAGGCGGATATTTCAGAGTGAGTTCAGTTAGAGAAGAGAATTCGATTTAAACCCATTCGAAAAGAAATTCAAATATTGGGCGGATCATATTTATTTCTTTCTTAATTCTCTTCAAGATCAAAGATTTTAGCGAGTTCTATTTTCAGATGCGAAAGGGTGTCGACAATTGCGGGATCGAGACTCGCGGTGTCTATGTGCCGGTGATGATCTAGGGAAAAAGGAAGAGGAAAATTCTTGTCTTTATCGACTCGCTATATTTATTAGCATTTGTACATTTTGTATTTGAGTGCTTTCATATAAAAACTTTTGATGCAATTGATTGAATAGAAGGAAAAGAATTTTGACGCCTTTTTTCTCTATGTTCTTACAGGGGAGTGCACAAAACAAATCAAGTTTTCTTAAGCCAAATTTGATGAGGATTCTTATAAAATCAACCGTAAGTCGATCCGATTGCTAAGTCGAGATATAAAGTATAACAGAAAAGTGTGCTAAAGTTTTATTCTGGTTGTATAAAAACAGCACTTTAACGCACTAGTCTTCGACGTCGTTTTTCTCTATGTTCTTACAGGTCATGAAATAGATGATGACCGTCTTTGTGATGTTGAACCGATCGATCACCTTCGGCCTGTAACTTCGTGATTTATGAAAATTTAAAATGTTTTAGAAGTTCGATCTATTAACAGAAAAGTTTTCACGGTTTTTGAGCCTTTTGATGTGTAAAAAAACAATACCTAAGAATCAGCGTGAATAAAAGATTTTCTATTTCTCATCACAATCAACACGTTTGTCGGATTCAACTTGATGATCCAATAGAAGTTGAATCCGACAAACGCGTTGATTGAGATGAGAAATAGGTTGAAGAACGCATAAACGATAAACAATCATCGAAGTGACTCCGATCTAAGGATTTTGACATCTCATAAGTTTTGAACTAAAACAAGTTATAAAAAACTGTAATGGCAAAACTTTTAGTTTTCCTATTTCTTCTCAAAAAATGACAATGATGTTGCAGTGCAAATCGTCCATGAACACGTTGGACCCAAAGAGTTTCAGAGAGTTTTTGTAACACAAAAAGCTTCACGGAAGATTTCCTGCAAGCGATTGCGTTCTTGAAGAAACTCGAATTCCATCTACATCTTCTTTCGTTCTTTCGTATTCCATCCACATCTGTTCCCTTTTATCCGTTGATTGTGATCGAAATTTGTGAAAGGGGCGATTTGTTGGCACTCGTTCCACAACTCCAAACAGCCAGAACAAAAAGAACAAAAAGAGTTGAGCTAGATGAGATGAAAATGTGGTTGGTTTGAAGAAACTTTAAAAGATTTCATGAGAAATTTGTGATCTTTACATAATTTGGCATCCTTTATAAACTCTTCAAAAGCCTAAAATAAAAACTTTCTCATCTACTCGTGAAGATGGGTTTTTGTTTCTAATCATGTCATGAAAAATGGCTCTCTCCCGCTATTGACTATCGCTTTCCCTTCACGTTTCAGTTTGGTTTTTCTAAGACTCCCAACTCCACAACATCGAAAGCCCGTATCCCCAGATTGATATCTCTATTCTTATTTCTATTAATCTTTACAATGCAAAGACATTCATGTCTTCGTTATCGACAGGGTTTTAGATTATCGATGGTTTTGAATAACCATCCTAAAGGAAAGAGGCTTTTTCTCTTATCGTTCCTCAACTATCCCCTTTAAGCATCCATTATGAATGAGTTCTCATTGTTCTTTTGCAACTTTTTGAGCAATTTCTTTTGTTCGCATTGCCTTGAAAGAAACACGGTCTTTCACAAGCTTCAATCCCATTGTTTTCAACCAAAACTTCCTAGCAATCTGGAAGGTGTTTAATCGATTATTTCTGAGTTTTTTCTTTCGAAATGTCCCTCTATTTCCCCTATTCCCTGTTACCTTCTGAGCTGAAGTCACCAATTCTTCGATCGATCTCTTTCAAACAATATCACGAAGTCTATCAAGTAAATCGAGAACTCAAAAATTCGATCACTACCGGAATCTTTTCGAGGAAATTGAATTCACTCGAGATCGAATTCGAGGTGATTCCTGGTCTCGATTCTTTCACTTACAACAATGGAGAAGTCAAGGCTCAGGTGGGAGAAAAGGACTCCCTTATTTCCTACGAAATCCAAAAAATCGAATCAAAAACATTTTGTTCAGCTCCGAAAGCTGTTCTGAAAAGAATCTTGCCAAAAAATCCAAAAATATATGATGATCAACCGAAATCCAAATCGTTCGAAATGAGCATTTCAGAAAAAATCTTTTGGAGAATGATAAACAAATTTTACTGTATTAAAGAGCTGAAAATCAATATGAAAAAGCTAGATTTGTCGACATTCGATGATTTGCACAAACTCTTATCTAAACAAGCTCATCTTTCGAAATTCGAACTTACCGCAAAGGTTCAACATGCTGAGGCAGTTCTTAAAAGTTTTTCAGTGAAAAATCTCGACTTTTTTAAACTCAAAATCTTTTGGGACATTGAAGCAGATGAAAAAGAAGAAGCAATTTTGTTTTTAAATAAATTGAAGCAACTGGAAATTTGTCGGAATAGTGGATTGTTGGCTTGGAAAGGAACTGAGGATCTCTGGTCGGAAATAAGGGATTTAAATTGGCATTTGAAAGTTTACGAAATGTCATTCGATTGGCGATGGGATGAGTGGGATGCGTGGAAAAAGATTTTGAGGGAAATCTCGAAAGGACATGGGTTAGACGAGCCGATTTTCATTCACCAGAGAGGCTTCGCCAGGCCAGAAATTGTCTTGGAAATCGAGCCAGATCCGACGCTTGAGTACAGCTTTCTAAAAGAGGTTTTTGAGGAATTCGAAGCTCTAGATGAAGTCCAGTCAAACTTCATTTTAAAAGATTTAAATGATTTGGAACCAAATTTAAATAAAAACCTAAAATGGCAGTCTTTTAGTGCCGCGACTCATAAGGGAATCTTTCGAAAAAACCTCTCAAACCGCCTTGAGATTCATTTCGTTTTTGCTGTTTTTGTCGAAGATTGGCCAGAGGATGTGGATAAAGAATTTGAAGATTATTTACATCACATTGAATGTCTATCAATTCAATTTTATGGACGAATTTATGAGAAAGCGAGCGTTTAACTTCATCGAAACCTAATTCTCAACAATCTTTCTCAAATTAGCTTTGAAACATCTGTTTTTAATCTTTATAATACAAATTTCGATATTGTGATATTTTGATTGATGTAAATCATTCTCGTCTCTCTTTCTTTGAACTCAACTTCGACCTCATTTTTCGAAAAGTTCCGAAGTTTCAAAGATAGGAGCCTTCCGTTCTATTTGGCTTCTAAAAAGTTTATAAACGGTAAAAACAAATGAAAATACGGTGAACTTGAAGCTGTAGATCTTCGCCTTCGTGAAAATCTCGAGAAAAAGTGTCAGTGATGTCTTCGTAGAAAGTCCACTGAGATTCGTGCAACGCCATTAAGCCGTTTTTCTATGGAAAAATGAATTTTATGTGATGGACAGAAGCAAAGGTGTTTTTTGCAAATGGACAGCTAAAGGCCTTTGATAAGACAAATAAACCGATCACTCGATTTGTTTTATTGATGTGACTCATCGCTAAGAATTGTGTGTTCCTTGATTTGTGGAAATCAAAGTGATTCGATCTTTCGAGACGGAGCCCACTTTCTAGTCTTTTCCTTTCGCTTTTAAAAACAGTACCAGAGCATTGTTTTTCTTATGAATTTATTTTTAGAAACGAATAAAACACTTGTGCAGTGCGTGAGAGCCGAGCCGATGGGGCAATGATTATTTAGATATGTTATTCCGAATCTAACACAATCACTAATCTAGAAAATACAATGAATAGAATCAATCGTTGGTTTAATGTTTCAAAAGCGAAAGGAAAAGACTACAAAGTGGGCTCCGTCTCGAAAGATCGAATCACTTTGACGAATCAAAATATCAAGTCACTTTGACAATATACAACATGTGCATACAACAGATGGCAAAAAAAGCTTTTCGCATCTCAAACCTTATACTTCGCGCTGTTTGTTTTCCCTCAATTGCTACTTATCGTAAAGCGTTCATTACCTACTGCCGCCCTTTGCTCGAGTACGCCACTTTTGTTTGGTCTCCCTGCCTCCAAAAGTTAATTTCTTTGGTTGAGAACGTTCAGCGTCGTTTCGGTAGGAGGGCGTATGCCCGTTGTTTCCCATCGAAAGAAATTCCTTGCTATTCTGATCGACTTGCTCTTTTTGACCTTAAACCCTTATCCCATCGCCGCATTTATTTTGATTTGGTCTTATGCTATAAAATCATCTTCTCTCCTAACTCTCATCCGGAACTTAAAGGACTCTTTAAGATTTCGAATCACGCCAGAAGAACTCATAGTCACAACTTTCAGATTACCCCCTTTCAAAGCTTTCATAACCGCCAACCGTATCATTCTTTTGCTTGTCGTGTTCCTCGTATTTGGAATAAGTTACCTTGTGATATTTTTTCGTCTCTGAACTATTTTAAATCCTCAATATATAAGCTCGATCTTGTAGCTCTGTCAATTTTAAATTAGTTTTTAATGTCATATATACACGTGTCTAATTGTAGTTGTGTTTGTATATCAATTATCTTTCTTCGTCTACGCTGTTCAATCTGTTTGCATTGTCACTTTTCCTTGTCGGATAAAGTATATATATAATGTTTCAAAAGCGAAAGGAAAAGACTACAAAGTGGGTTCCGTCTCGAAAGATCGAATCACTTTGACGAATCAAAATATTGAGTCACTTTGACAATATACAACATGTGCAAGTGTTTTCTGTACCGATGTAATAAAAGCTATTCTAATTAAAACTACAATTTCCAAGAATCAAGGAACACATAATTTTTAGTGATGAGTCAAATCAATAAAATAAAGCGAGTGATCGGTTTATTTGTCTTATCAAAGGCCCTTAGCTGTCCATTTGCAAAAAACACTTTTGCTTCTGTCCATCACATAAAATTCATTTTTCCAAGGAAAACGGCTTAATGACGTTGCACGAACTTCAGTGGACTTTCTACGAAGACATCACCGACACTTTTTCTCGAGATTTCCTAGGAGACGAAGATCTACAGCTTCAAGTTCACCGTATTTTCAATTGTTTTTACCGTTTACGTAAACTTTTTAGAAGCCAAATGGAACGGAAGGCTCCTATCTTTTGAACTTCGGAACTTTTCGAAAAATGAGGTCGAAGTTGAGTTCAGAAAAAGAGAGCCGAGAATGATTTACATCAACAGTCAGAACTCTGACAATCGGGTAAGAAAAAAGTTTTGTTAGATGAGCAAGAAATTTCAGTATTCGTGGAGAATCGCGGCTGGAAAATGCGAACTATTTATGTTTAATCTCGACTGGGATCCGCTTCAGGAAACAATCAAGGACTGGGCCACACAAGTGAGTCTTATAGGACGCTTTTTTACTGAGCAATAGCTTTGATTGAACACACTAACTTAACTGAATACCTAAGGTATGAGTGAAAATGGGAACCCAAATGTCATGCTTCCTAGGTGGAACTTTTTCCGCACGTGGAGTTGTATTTCCATTGGAAAGATGCACAAGACAAAACCATCTTCATGAAATATCGTTGTCTTCGTTTTGACTTGAAAGAATGGAATGAGACAAGAATACCGACGCGGGATAGCTCGAATAGGTAGGTGATTGCGTTGACTACCGGTTGTCTAAAAAAATTCTCCATTTAAACTTAAATTTCCAAAAAGTTTAAGTGGCTCAAGGTGGCGGTCTTGGTGTCAAAGCTGGTGGTGGACTTGGATCTGCGCGATATCTAGTGCGTAGTATTCTGGGCCACTTTTTATCTCTCATTTGTTTTACAATTTTACAGACACTGGATGCCATCATTTATGAAACATCGCCCTTTGCTCGGTGGTCGAGATTTGATGAGACCGCTACTTTGTGCTAGCGACGAGGTGCAGCAATTTGGTGATTGTCAAGTTCAAGGTGCCTTTTTGCGTCATCACCATTGCTCACGGTTATTTAGGAATCAAATTTGACGGAACGTTACTATACTTTATGCTCAAAAATGTCACCAAAGAAAAAATGACGGCCTCATTTTCGCGTTGGGAACCATACAAAGCAGGGTTGCGATTCCTTTACCCCGGTCGCGACAATCGATATTATATTGGTAGAAAGGTAATGGGCAAACAGACCAATTATTGTCCTTAAATCCTGGCTTATTTTATAGCATGTCTTCACTTCGGGGCAAACCACAGAAATGGGGATCAGCTTTCGAAATCCACGTTGCCTTCAGAAACTAGATGAATGGAAAAACATGGTTGTTTCCAGTTTGGTCTTACTGTTTATGTTTACTTTCTTAGCCATCGCCACAAATTCCATACGTGCTCATTGAAATAAAATCGAATACCAAGGCCTTCAACTTTTACGTCGCATTTAACCTCATAAAAAGGTTTGTCGAAAAGATCTTACTAAAATTTAATTCGTTTCAGTACATGGATGCCCTCGTTTACTACTGAAGAACCTTTCACAGGCCCATTCAGGACAACAACAACCCAACGGGCAGTCTCGGGTTCAAATTCTCGTGAATTCACTCCGCGACCTCCTCGCGTTAGGCCTTTTGAAAGAGGAAGTGGAGCTTCTCAACCATTTTGACACAACAGCATTCATTCCAATTGCAGATCTTGGAACTAAAGTTCATTTCTGTAATACAAGCATACTTTAAACACTAGCATTAGCCCAACTGATATTCGTATAAGCTATTCAGCTAATATCGCCATTATTTTGCCTCAAATTGTTGTCCTCTTTCTTTATATGCTTGTTTCGTTTGTTTATTCACCTATCCAGTTATTTTTAAGGTTTCATAACGGTTAACGGCGAGCGCAGCGATTATCGGCGCGCGTCCATTTTTTGACCAACTTGCATCCCGCTTTTAGATTGATTTATGTTGATAACTTTTGATAAAACGAATAGCTTCTAAAAGTTAACGTTCTAAGCCATCAAAATCGTATTATCATTTCCTGATCTGGCAAGTTTAAGGTGCTTAAAAATGAGCTACAAGTAGGCCAAAAAATTGACCACCGCCGACAATCGCTACCCCCGCTGTTAACCGTAAAGATCCCATAAAGCAATTATGCCATAAGCTTTTCTCATAAAAGTGATGTCGAGAATCTTTTTCAAAATTGCGAGTGATCAATGGCATTGGAGCCAGAAAGGTAAACAAAACATTGCTGGTTTCGCGTAAAATCACACCCGGCAATAAAGTTTTTTTTAACGTTTTTTCTACGCATCAAGAACAGGCCATATGCTGAAATCTTTTTGAAATTCTAAAATGAAATCAATGTCCGTGTCGTTGTACAATCCTCCACTGGTGATCCATTGGTGATTAACAAAATAAAGATCGGACCTTCTCAGCGTGGCCAGTGATGGCTGAGAAAAATCCTGACACGTAACATTATTGCGATTGTGGTTATTTTGTTTGGCATTTCTGCATCTTTGCCTCGCCAACAAGCTGACATGCAAATTGACCTTTGACATCTTACTTCATCATTGAATTTTAGTATATTTTATCCTAGTTTTCATATGGTTTTATAAACATAAACACTATATAACGGAATGGAATTTTGGTCCAGCTCGAGGCTAAGCTATATACAACGGCATTCTCTAGAATGGAAAGCACTAATGCTTTTATATGAAAACTTATAATTCCAGCCTTTTGCCAATGATTCTATGCCCACCAAAGCCTGCAACCGTCACGAAAGAGCTTGGAGTAAGCGTATTAGGCTTTGTTAGCAATGAGCAGTTAGTATTTCGACTACTGTATCCATTCTAATAGTTTTACAGGTTATTAAAGTCGCGTACTATTGAATACCATAAGTTTTTCCCAGTTCATGAGCTTAATGAAATAGTTGCACTCTTTATTCGCATCAGAGTGAATACGGTAACTATTTTGTTAGTGTTAAGCAATCTAAGGTGATCTAAAGTGCAATCGCTATATTTTTACCAAAGATATCGCAGAAAATTTCCATTTATTCTGTTTGGTTCTGTGGGGCAAAAGATGCAGAAGTACCATTTTTTTAAAAAACAGTTTACCAAAGAGTTCGTTTAGACTCTTGCTCCATAGTTTAAACTTCAAAAAAAGCTGTTATGCAAGGAAATAGTCTTGAGAGAAGAGAGAAGGCTGAGTCATCGCCTTTCCCATAAATCAATCTTCGAAAGGGCGACCTTTTTCTTTCGATTTCAAATTGTTTGGTTCACCTATTGGACAACCTACTTAATCCATCTGATTTCCTAATCATAAACTCTCTCTATTTACATAATTTTTATCTGCAATGCAAAGAAAGCGGCTTGAAAGTGAACTGAAAAGAATCGAAGAGGTTGGTGATCAAAAAAAATTTCAAAGTAACATATAACTTGAATATTTCTCTGAAGAACGATTTTAGATTAGCTTGGCAAGTCATAGACGATTATCTTAGACAACAACTTGTCTATTTCATAGACCGCAAAAAAGAACATTAATCCAAAAGGTATTCTCCATTATTATCGATGACTTCTTGCCATCTTTGACGCAATTCCTTGATATTATTCTCAACAAACTGAGCGTCCTTCTGAGCAAAGTAGAAATCAAGTGCATTTTTGACTTGAGCTTGATCATCGAAATGTTTTCCATAGAGAAAACATCGAACATTTCTGCCAATTCCTGAATGTTTCCTGAAAAGCATCATTTTATTCTTCACTCAACTCAAAGCATTTGGCTTCTCGCGAACATTACAGAACAATTTCCCATCAATGCCGTGGCCGATGATGAGCTGCTCTTCGGTGTGTCCTTTCTTGATTCGCTTCCTCGCCGCGTGTTTCTCATCCCAAAAACATTGCTGGAAGAGGAACGGATAGACGAGTGGCAGTACTCCACCCGAAGGAATCGTGCTCTTCGCGAGTAATCTCGACAATTCCTCATCATTTCGAATCGACAACTGCAGGTGCCGGGGCAGAATTCGACGTTTCTCCGCGTCTCGCGATACGTTTCCCGACAATTCCAACAACTGGAAATACTTTCTATTAAGTACTCGAGATGATTTGTTCAAGATTTGGTATTTATTCCTTTTCTATAAGATCGCGAGCAGTTCTTTAGCTTCTGGCCGATCTTTACGTTTCAGATTCTCGTCAAAAATGCGCCTGACTTTGAATTTCTCACTTGGTCTAGGTATTTCTGTGTATGCACACTCAATAAGTATGGGGAGACGCAAAGAAAACAAATATAAGATGCTCACCTCAGCAGTCATATACTCCAGAACGGCTGCCAAATAGACCGCAGCACCGGCACCAATTCGGAGTTTCGGATTTCCCTAAAGCCCTCTAAAGCTCATCAGTTTTGTGTGATCCATTTGAGCTGATATTAGCCTAACAGCTATTGCCAATAGACAAAAATTAAGTTGATTGATCAATTTAACCAAAAAAACGATCTCACCAGGAAAGAACAAAGTGTCTAAAAACAAAATGCAGATTTGGTAAATATTATCCCGCTTCTATTGCCAACCTTTCGCAAATATCGCTCACAACGACTGACAGGAAACGTTAATCCGGCTCTCGTGGATCGCGATTGTCGAGTCGTTTTCTTCTTGGCTTTTTTGGCCAATCTTCCTCCTCTTCCTCCTGGTGGCATCACAGAAAATAGATGAAAATGTTTAACAGAATAAAAAGCTGTTGAATAATGGATATCAATCGAATCTTCCTTTATAAATAGAGCTAGAAGAATCCAGCTTTTTATAGAAGAAAAAGCTAGAAAAAGTCGAGTCGAAATCCGTCGAATCCTGTCAAAATGGCTGGGAAAAAGGGGGAAAAGGACGGTGACTCATTCGGCTTTTCCTAGAAGTTTTTACAATAAGCCTTTTTTGCAGGAAAGGCAGAAGAAATGAAAAAAACAGCCACTAGCTAAGTGTGTAGTTGGTAATAAATATGTATGCTTGAAGAAGTCCGAGAGTACCTGTGAAAGCTGTTGAACAAAACGAGGCAAAGCCGAGACTTATTCCTTAGAAATTAGCATACAAAACGATCGAATATTCATTTAAAAAGCTTAGTTTGCAGATTAATTTTAAATAAAAACAATTTTCTTGAATTTTTATTATTTCCATCTGCAAAGTTTATCGAAAAGTTATTAAAAACAAGCATTAGGCCTGGTCGGACTGAAAATGGTTGGCTTTTCTTTTTTTATTAACTTTTGCCTAGTTTTTGAGAATTTAGGTGCACTTAAAACAGAATTGTTGCCGAGAAAAGCTCAGTTAACATCACTTTCGTTTTTTTTTGGTCAGAAATCAGATGATCCGATCGAAATTTCATCGAATCGGCTTCAATTTGATGGAGATGTCATCAGATAAGATCGGTTATATTTGGATAGCAATCTGATCCAATATTATCCCATGAAATCTGATCGGATTTCAAGTCTATTTGAAACTTTCCAGCCCATGATGTTTTGTGTGATGGATCAGGCCATGTGTACCTACAAGGAAATCAAATGGGAATCAGTCTACTCTGGTGTTTACGCTTTCTTCGGCGCTACCGCTATCAATTGGAATCCAATAACTGGTAGATCGACGCGTTCAGTGAGAAATTCATTGGAAATAAAAATTCTCCTTATTAAACGATCTTTAATTTTTGTGAAACTCGAAAGAGGTTTGATAAAAGAATTCCTGTCAATTATTTATGAAATTCTCGAAATGTTGCTGTGCATTTAATGGAAAAAAAAAAAAAAAAATTACTTCCAAACTTATGGTTATGATTCTGTAAAAAAGCACAAAAACATGCAAAAATCAATCAGAAAAAACTGTTTTTTGGCACAAGAAAAAGGCGAATTTTTAGTTTCTACAGATAAGGGAGTCGTATTCTGTCAAGTC